GTTAAAGCCCTTGCCACGTACTCTTGAGTCGGGGCAGTGACGCAACTCTTACGCTTGGGGATCCCTTTTCCTCAGGGCTGGCTCTTGGAACCTTCTGGTGGCTTTAGGTCAAGTAGAGGGTGGTTCATAGCGCTCCCGGCGGCTTATAAATACATATTAGGTTGAGAAAGCCAGGCTGCTACCATTCAACACTGTTGGGTTGTTTACTAGTTTCAAATTGTGTTATTTATTATCAAAGCGTTTGAGCGCCAAGTCTATTTTACTTTTTGATCAGTTCAGGCTCTGACGAAGGCGGAGACGCTGAATTGTTGGCCTAATAAAAGCTTCACCAATCTTGAAAAGGCTTCGAGAGACACAAAGAAGGTAATTCAGGAATATTTTACTCACCTCTCGCTCGCCGGTGGTGGAGAACCTGGCAAAGAGGCCGACGACTGAGATCGCGCACATCACATAGCTGGGAAACGTCAGGGTGACCATGTAGAACAGAGGACGGCGCTTCACTGACACATCGTAGCGTAGTTCCGAAACCTGAAGGTACCCTGTAAGGAAGACGGGCATATGAGCTCAATTGGTCCGAAGCTCTCACATTAATGCCTTCGTGCTCATATTCGTCCTCGATTACCGTGACCTTCAACAGACGCCATTCCTCATTATCCGTGTAGTGCTGCAGTGAGTGCTCAGTGTGAGCTCGCAGACGAATTTTGTCCTTACCGTATGTCCAGCTGGCTATCTGAAATCGCAGCCAATGAAAGAGATTTATGAGGCGAGGCCAAATTAGTCGAATGGCAACATGCACCTGTTCGAAAGTAGGAGAGAAATGTGCAAACTTGAGATGTCATGGAGTCAAAGACGGCCAAAGACCATTGTTACACACTCTAACTACGCGCTCCTTGCGAGATGTTCTCCTGGGATTAAAGGCACAGTCCACCGTGGACTAGTGTATTATTGCGCTTGCAAGTGGCATCGGAGATGTGAAGCGCAACACAAGTAATGAAAAAGAACGGGAAGAAAACCGTGGTAATGACGATAAATCCCGGTC